GCATGAGAGCAAGACAATAACAAGGATATTTTTATTTTATTTTTAAAATGTATTTTTTAGCCCTCTACCGTCGTTTTAATTTAATTATTTTTTATTGTATGGCAATTTTCTAAAATCTGCCTATTATTAAACAGAACAATGAAAATAGAATTAATTTAAATGTGTTTTTTAAATAAAAAATAAATTTTATGAATTAAAAAGTTTTATTCGAAAAAACACTATTAGAAATAATTAAAAAATATATGGAAAAATCACAAAATTTAGATTTTTTTAAAATTTTTATTTAGAACATTGCAATTCTATTGGTATTGAAAGATGCCATTATATTGCTCGTTCAATTGTTTCCAAATCCATCTTTTGCTTTAGAAACATTGACTATTTTAAAATTAATTTATATCAATGAAAGGTTAACTTCCGATTTTTGAAAGCTCTAATATTCCAGGTACTTTGTTGTCTTTTCTTGCTGCCATTATTTGTCTCAAGCTCTCTGATATACATAATTGTTTTTCATAGTACATCAAAGCTTACAAAAGATGCTTAGGGTATGCAAAAAACGTGACTCTTGGAATAACTCGTTTAATAATTTTCTTAACATTAGATTCCAAAGACTAATAATGTAATCAATTTCGGTCTTGCTTTGCTTGATCTGATCTAAACTTCCTGTTGCTATTTTTCTGATCTAGTGAAAATGCTCTTTCTAATAATGTTACTTCTCATCTTTTGGACAATTACAAGTGCTCAAATTACTAGATTTATAAGAAAACTATCTAATAGTTCTTGTATGTATTTTTTTCATTGCTGTAGTTTAGCGTTGAAGTTATCTGATTGTTTTGGTTTTGGAAAGCGAATAAAATGTGAATACTTATTAGAACAACACTTTAACAATTGTTTTATTCGTTGTATCGTAACAACAGGCTAGGAAGTTTTCCTTTTTAGTTTCGACTTTTGATAAATACAACGGGCTGTTTACCTTTTCTTATTTTATTTCTGATTAGCGACCCACCCCTGCTTCGCATAGGTAGGTACAACGTAATGTAATAGTATAATAATACTTAAATATCTTCCTCTTGAATCACTCTATCTTATTTAAAAAAACAGGTGTCAGTGGTAACACTGATTAAGGTACAAAACAAATAAGGAGATCCTAAAATAGGTCACTACGAGTGCTTAATTTCGATTTTATTTTGACTTTGGAACAATAAAATTAGACTACGCAATTACGAACTATCTACTTGATTCATATCAGTCAACTAAAGATAAAGACATAAGACAAAGATAGAAAGAAGAAAATAGGTAACTGGACTAATTCTGATGTCAACAGTTCAAGTTGCAAAGTTACGCGCTGACTGTGAGTTTTGCTTATAATCGGCGCTTTTAATAATGTATTGTTTTAAGTTTATGACAAGCTTATAATGATATAAAATTATTTTTTACGATGTATATTATATTTAAAGTTACAAAAATATATTATTTATCAAATAAGACCAATTCTAAGGTAATTTATGATTTTTGCAATAAAGTCCTATTTTTTCATTTTTATGAAATATTCAAAAGCCAGTAGAGGGCTAAAAAATAGTCGCAATATTTTTTTATTTATTTTTCTCGTTACCGTTGCAACAAGATGCAACTTTTAAGAGGTATTCACAAACGCAAATGTAAAAAAAAATTTTTCGCTCCACCCTAGTCAACAGGTCTACTCCAGAAGTCCAAGACTCACCCTGAGCGCGTCCAGAGTGACACCAGCATCTTCAGGAGCGATCTGCTTGAGCAGGTGCGAGTAGATCTCAGAGTCAGCCACGTTCTAGAGATAGGGAGAGGAGGTCTACTCCAGCAGGATCGCCTCGGAAGAGAGAGTCAACAGGTCTACTCCAGAAGTCCAAGACTCACCCTGAGCGCGTCCAGAGTGACGCCGGCATCTTCAGGAGCGATCTGCTTGAGCAGGTATGAGTAGATCTCGGAGTCGGCCATGTTCTAGAGATAGGGGGAGGAGGTCTACTCCAGAAGTCCAAGTTAGACTCACCCTGAGCGCGTCCAGAGTGACGCCTGCATCTTCAGGGGCGATCTGCTTGAGCAGGTGCGAGTAGATCTCAGAGTCAGCTACGTCCTAGAGATAAGGCGAGTAGGTCTACTCCAGAAGTCCAAGTGTACTCACCCTGAGCGCGTCCAGAGTGACGCCAGGGACGTAGCTTAGGTACCGTAGAGGTGCACTAAGAAAGGAATTCCCGAAATTCCCACAGGAACAGGAATTACCGGGAAAATCCTTTTGTATGAAAAATCTAAACCGCTTAAGTTAGACGCTTGAAATTTGGCGTGCAGGTCCCTTAGTAAACTTAAAGCTTAGTTACAACAGGATATTGCGAAATTCCAACGGGAACGGGAGTTAGCGGGAAAAAACATTTGTATGAAAAAATCTAAACCGCGTAAGATAGATGAAGGGGGTAAAACGGGATCCACGCGTACGAAGTCGCGGGCGGCCGCTAGTAAGGCAATAAAATTAAACATAAAGTACCAACATTCATTGACTAAGGACCATTTAAAAAATAAAATTGGTAATTATAACGATAAATAGAGGTAATAAAACGACTTTCAGAAGACTTATAAAATCATATCAGTGTCTTTTTATTTTGAAGTAGGTATTTATGCCTGTTTATGGGAATATTTGTCTTTTATAAATAAAAAAATAATAATTCGTTTTATGATTCTTATTAAATATTGTAGGCCTTGATCATACTTGGACATTTGCCACTATAAATAAAGGTCGTTTAGCATACATATTCTTATAGGTACTTAAGTAGTTAACTGAGTGAACTGTGCGATAAAATCCGCAATTTATCACTGCTATGATCTGATGAATGACACTGACATGTGTAGGCTAGCGGCTATCGTCCTAATCGTTTTTCAACACCCACGCTCATGCGTTGCAAATCGACCATTTACATCGCTTTTAAAACTTTATTTTGGTAATAAATTTGGAAAAGATTTACAACTTCAACACCAATTAACCGTGTACCTTGTAAATCAAACATCAATATCATATTACGCCCCAAAATTAATATCTGAAAATGGAAACCATTCTTCAATCTGCCCACGCTGCTAGCAATATATTTCAGCAAACGTTGACAAGAAAATTTAATCTGTTTTCGTAAATTGTTCGGGACCATAGCCGCAGCACTAAGTCATATTTTCATTGATGTGATTACAGCCCGCGCCCGGTAACAGCGATTACGCTCGATTCTAATAGAGCCATTAAAATAGCCAATACCTAAGCTTGTTGCCTCATACATGCGCCGACCGAATGGCTCTGATATACATACAGTTTCTTGGTGGGTTAATCTTTATAAAGGCTATATTCGACTTTTTGCTACATAGGTACATGGATCAATTTTCACCTCAGAAAGCGAGGCGCTTTTCCGTAGCAGGTACTTAATGAGGGCTATCGTTTTAGCGCTCACCAGTTTGCTCCACTGTAGAGTAAGGTCCTGTCACTTGCTAGTAGCAAAGACAGTGGCACCAACTGGTGAGTGCTAAAGTGGTAGGAGGACTATCGCATTTGCACTCATCAAGATGGCGCCACTGTAGAGTAAGGTCCTGTCAATCGCCAGGGGTGCCAACTGTTAAGTATAAAAACGATAGCCCTCATTCGTTGGCAACCAGACGCAAATGTTTATAGCGCCCTGCTGGATATTTTCATATTCAAGTCGCGAAAAAAATATGATTAAGAATCATAGAAAAAGCTAAGCATCCATCAGCCATCAATACTTATCCATAGACTTATGTTTGAAACTGATACATGCAACAATCATACAATACAATATTCAGGCATAAAATAAATAGTAATATATTATTTATATAATATAAATACAGTCACGGAATGAAAAGGTTCGTCAGTTTTCAAATTGATTCCTTCAACGAATCGCGAGCACATATTACCTTTTGAAACTATGTTACAGAATAATCTCGAGTTAGAGAAAGTAATCTTTAACTGTTCATCAGTAAAGTTCAAAATTATTCAGATCAGAGTTGTTTGACGATTTATCTTGTCAAGAAGATTAGATTTATAAACTAAAACCTTCTTGTTGGTTCAACCTGCCATTATTATTTCTATTAAATAAAAAAAACTATTGTCAATTGGTCAATGTCATCATTGCATTGCACTGATGGGATAGAAAAATAAACAATCAAAACCTTATTCATTAGCAAACGTCATATTTATTTAAATGTTAGCAGCACTGTTTCTTGCACTGTTATGTTGGCAGGTTTGACTCTTAAGTACCTAGTGCAAGCGAAAACCGACACTAAGGTGACGAACCTTTTCATTCCGCGACTGTACATTTCAATTCAACTATACCATAGACTATACGTACCTTTTTTTTTTTTTTTTTTTTTTTTTTTGTGAGTTTGACACTGGCACAGAGTTTTTAGCAGTAGTATCATTGAATTTGTTTGGTTGTTGTTTTGACTGAATTATTACTTCGGAATGAGATTCCGAGTGACATTCACATGAGTCAAGTGAAGGAACTGTAGAGCTTTTATGATGACGTCTCCTCTTTTTATTACAGTGTTTACAATACTTAGGTACAGAGGCCCGTTTTAAACGTTTTGATTTATTTTGAGAATGTTCGGAGCCATCCGTGCATGAACTTTCAGTATCTAATGCTGAATAATTATTAGCTATAGTGACATTGTACGAAACCTGGGGGACGGAGCCCCCAGGTTCGTCTGGGTCGTTCATGTAACCAGAGAAAGAGGTAAAAACTTACCAGAGCACTGCCAAAATCACTAACTAATAAATAAATAGAAAGATAAACATAAATATACTACACTCCACTACTTAACTGATCTCTATTTACTAGATAATTTATAAAAATCGCAAAAGCAAAAATTGAGACAACCGCCTAGCTTGACGTTTCCCGCGCTTCCCGACTATACGTACCTGGGTTTTCTTTTATTTTTCTTAAACTTAACTTCATTCGAATTTTAAATCCACGCCTTTGTTCCAGTTTCGGCCTGTACCATGACACGGAGAAGATCGGTTGCCATCGGCGCGAGGGATCTACCCTGCACATCATGACCCCCATTTTCGAGGCTGATACCGTACAAGTGGCTTGGTCGCGATGCAGCAAGCGGGACGTCACCAACTTCTTGGAGTTAGTGAGCTCTACCTACGTTTATTATATGTAGAGGATGTTTTCAATAGCACAGCAGATGTAAAATTACAATGTTACCATTCTTATTTAATAAAACTTGCTATTATAGAGTGCTAAGCTTACGTGCCTGAAAGTACAATTTGTTAAAAGCAATAATAAAAAAATTTTTAGATATTGAAAATCGGTAATGTTCTGCAAAAAGCGGGTATTTCATTTACGAAATGTTTGTGTTACTACTCCAAACCGCATCTGGCTTAGTAGCTTTACAAAAAACCTGTGTAGTAAAATCTCAACAATGCCTTTAAAAATCATGAAAAAAGTTACTTCACTTACATTGTTGCAAGGAAAATTATCAGTTACATTATCAAATAAGACGAAAAACAACAAGTAGGTAATGTACGAATCAGTATTAATTAAAACTTGAAATAAAGATCCAATCAAAATAAATACGTGCAATTAACGCAAAATCCTTTTCATTATCATCGGCGTGTATCTTTGATATCCGGCAGATATTATAAAGTTAAATAGTTACGCTTTAAAATAAAAGACCTACGCGAGTAAATTGCGTAAAGCTTTTAACGCTTCCTACTCACAGCGAGAATTAAATATCAAAGCTATTATTGATTCGCGTTATCGCGCGATCGCAGATGCCCCGCAGCGGATCTATTGAAGTGCCACTATATAACTTTCCTTATTACAGCCACTTAGTTCCAAACTAGTGTCGTTTAGCATAGAAAGTTATTTGATTGTACTAGTTATCTGTCATCTTATTACACGCTAATAATACGAATGTTTTACGACCATAATAAAACTGAAAGTTGAAGTAGAAATCCTACGCGTATGAGCCGCCTCACAAGGCCAGAATGATGTCGTGAAGGCTTCAAAAATTTTATATTTATGCCGTGATTCAATTCGTCAATATTTATTATGTTCGACCCAAAACTGCGTGTCTGAGGTATTTGTCATCGAACACACTAATCACCATAAACCATCGCGTTATGGCGCATCACCCGATATTTTATAGCGGTCTTTACTTAATTTAGATACGAATGTGAATGTAATTATTACATATTTATGCTAATACAATATAATTAGCTGTTCTATGAATAAAAGCTAATGGTTTATGTTTTAAAATTATCTATTTTATCTAAACCAGGTTGTATGTTTGATATCTTTATTGTAAAAGTAATTTGATGTAAATTAAATTAGCCTTAGGTTCGCTCGTTTGTAGTATTGACACGATATATAATAGTATGTTGACAGGAGAAATAAAATAACACGAATTTGTATTCCCACAGTGCTGGCATGGGCGAGTGTCTGAGCGACCGGCCGTCCCAAGACGAATACATCTATCCCGAAGTCCCAGCTGGTAAGCATTACATCGATAAATTAAAATTAAATTAAATTAATTATTAGATCATTATGAATTTGGTACCGAACGTGTCTCTCTTACGACATAGTAAAATCTTTATCCGCTACATTATTAATATTCTGCTGTTCATGTAACCAAAATGTCCTATGGGTATTTATGATTTCTCACGATCTGATTTGAAGTTTATCTAATTGCCCATTGCCTTGACTCTTGCGTCGTTGTTTCAATCCAATCGCCGTTTGCACCTTAACAATTAAAAGTGAAGATACTGTTTTTAGATAAGTAGTTCTTTTTCTCAAAACCATGAACTTTGTTATCCAGGGGTGATGTTTGACGCGGCTACACAGTGTCACCTGCAATTTGGCGCGGAGGCAGTAGTATGTGCGAAGCCATCGGAGCTGTGCGAACACCTGTGGTGCCTCGTCAACAACACCTGCAAGACCATGCTGCGGCCTGCCGCGCCCGGGACCACTTGTGGACCTGATATGGTAAATGTTACATCCGTAACCTACGTTAACAACTCAAAGACTAGTAATATCACTATCATCATCAGCCTATAGCTTTTGCTCAACATAGTTCCAATACGAGCCACTGTACCTTGTCTTGCTTCTATCACTTTTCACAAGTAGTCTCTCCACCTAGCATAATACCTACACTGCATTTTTCTCATCTTGATTTTTGCTGAAGAACTCATTCACTCCAGTAGATCTCCGGCAGGTATAACCAGTCCACTGCCACTTTTGCTTGCTAATTCGATTACCTATCTGATCTGCCGTAGACAAGCACCAGATTGACGATTCAAATCTATTTTAGTCCCCATTACTGGAGCCTCATCCATCGCTATTTGTATCAGACTCAGACTCCAAAGAACACTAAGCTCCGACCACTAATGGCCAAGCGACGTTAAATGTATTCTAATAAGGTCTATTCTTTCTAGTGGTGCCAAAACCAGACGTGTGTAGCACGAACTCCATCACCCGCGCCGCGCCACGGCGGCTGGGGCCCGTGGAGCGAGTGGAGCGAATGTTCGCGCACGTGCGGCGCGGGCGTCTCGACGCAGTCGCGCAAGTGCAACAACCCGGAGCCCTCCAACAAGGGCAACTACTGCATCGGGGACAGGAGCCGGTGAGTGTCTTCCCTAAGCTCTGCACCAGACGTGTGTAGCCCGAACCCCATCACCAGCGCCGCGTCACGGCGGCTGGGGCCCGTGGAGCGAGTGGAGCGAATGTTCGCGCACGTGCGGCGCGGGCGTCTCGACGCAGTCGCGCAAGTGCAACAACCCGGAGCCCTCCAACAAGGGCAACTACTGCATCGGGGACAGGAGCCGGTGAGTGTCTGCCCTAAGCTCTGCACCAGGCGTGTGTAGCCACAGCGGCTATTCATACAGCATAACAAACTAAGGATACGTACGCGAGTGTCTGCTACTGACTGCACTAGACGTGGGTATAAAAACTATGTACCTGCCTGCGCTACTAAAAGATTTGCTATGGATAATATGCTTTTCTTCTTTTTTATGCGAAACCAATTGCTCCAAACGTTTCGCACAATTCAAGTTCGTGACGCAGTGAGATCAACGAGATCTTCATTTCTAATCACACTTCACGAGTGACCGGGGCGATGTCTATTTAAGTAGGTAGGTACTTAGACTGAAATGTCTAGGCTACTAGGCAAGTCCTAAAAGCGTGAGAACTATGATTCATGTCAGTCTAGCAAACGTGAGACGAATGGACACGACTGCTTCGCTCCGGACATCAGAAATGTCCCACTACCCTACCGATACGCAGTCTGCGAATACAAACTAGTTTATTACCGATTGGAGACGCAACGAATATTAAAACGGTAAATGACATAGATCTCCGTTTATAGCAACACTAGATAACTGCATAGTACTTATGCATGCTCGTAAACCTTCATCGTAGCTAGTAACTGGTTGCAAAAAGACCACCGAAGCCCTTAAAATTGCAAATTAATACTTTCTGTGAATCATCGACCACTCGAACTAATGTATAAAACGGCGAATTAAATCTAAGCTCAGCTTTTTGCCTGAAGTTACGTCACGGTTAATTTGACAAAAACCCTAGGAGGTCCGAAGGACGAAACGGATTTGATGAAAACCGAGACCGCAACGCTTCAGTTGAGCTTAAACAAAACGATTCCATTAAAAAAGCGCAAAGATTAAAGGATGTCTACAATAGCCGACGACTAAAGGTTATCAAACTGTATTCTATAGACGCACAATATTTTTGTTTTCGAACTCAATCATAAGATTGTTTATAAATATTTTAATGTATTTTTCTAGATACAAGATATGCAATACGGATCCATGTCCAATCAACGAGCCGACGTTCAGAGAAGTGCAATGCGCCAAATACAACAACAGAACGTACAAGAACGTCACAGTGGCCGAGTGGATACCCTACTTCGACCAAGGTAGCTAACAGTCTTTATTCTCCTTTGTTTCTTAACTTTGTAATAATATTATGCTTTTGTATTGCCTGGATTTCTACGTCACTAGTGTTGCAAGCCCCTAACTTGAAGTATGTGCCCACAGACAGGCCGTGCGAGCTGAAGTGTGTGCCTCGCGATGACAGCGACCTCCAACTGATGTCGCCAGCCTTCGTGGCCGACGGAACACCCTGCAGGCAGAGCATCGGCTCTAGGGACATGTGCATTGCTGGTGAGTTATATTTTCCATAACCTGCAGCAGTCTACAGCTGTGCGTGCCGTATTTAATCCGCATAAAGGGGGTAGAAAAACACTAACCAAATCCAAATCGTAACGAGAAAACAGAAGAGTCTTCATAAAGTAGATCTTTCCCACTCTCATTATCACATGAACTTTTCCTCTCCATTTAATTATACAGGTGAATCTTTTTTTTATTTTCGAGTAAGTATTCCCAGTAATCACCTCTAAGACTGGGAATTGTCTTGACATATTTTCCCAGCTGTTCCACTTTTGATTCATTCCAAAGAAGTCAACTGGTAACTTTTTTCTTAATTTTCTCTCTTGACACCTTCCCATTTGTCCACTCCTAGTGTATTTTCTCTTCTTTTCCCTTTCTACTAACATAAAACTTCAAGATGAAGAAGATGCTAGTCTTTAGCTTGATGGGCAGTCGTCTGTAGTCTATGAAGCATAGACGTAAAATTACAGCTTTTAATTTGTTTCCAAGCTTTTAATTTGGGCAGCAAGGTTCTGGAATGGAGGCCACGTACCGGAAAACGCAGCGTGGGACGTCCACCCACAAGGTGGACCGACGACCTGATAAAGGTAGCGGGAAGGCGCTGGATGCAGGCCGCTACCAACCGTGCGATGTGGAAGTCATTGGGGGAGGCCTATGTTCAGCAGTGGACGTCCTGTGGCTGAAATGATGATGATGATGATGATGATGAATTTGTTTCCAGGCGTATGCTACAAAGTGGGCTGCGACTGGGAGGTGAATTCCGACGCAGAGGAGGACGCTTGCGGCGTATGTGGCGGCAACGGCTCCGCCTGCAAGACCGTCAAGGGCATCTACAGCAAGGGCACCACTAAGCAGTCCGGCTTTAGCGAAGTAAGACCCCCTCGATCAACCCCCCCCCCCCTTCATAAGTCCTAGGGCACCCCCTGGAACCCCCCTAGGATTTTGGGGGGTTACCTACCGATTCGAAGATTGAAAGATGAGATTATTGAATCTGCGCGACTGTTGTCACCCCCTGATGCTTGGCACCCGGGGCGGACCGCCCCCACCGCCCCCCCCCTTAATACTTCAAGACCATTAATACTTCAAAGACAAATTGCTTTTACCATTGCTTGCCTGGAATCCATTCGAGTATCACTCGTACGTAGAACTTTTGAAACTGATAAGACTACCACTTGGTGGATCGACACGTTATTTATAAATAGTTGCGGGAAGCAACTGAATGCGGGCAACACAGGTCCGTTCGTTGTGGAAATCTTTGAGGGAAACGGCCTCTCTGGCCTGAACTTTATCCAGCAGTGGACCTCCTTTAGCTGAAATGATGACAGTCTATCGTATGTACTTGTACGTGTAGGCTCGTAGTTAGCTAGTTAGGACATTACGTGAGAGGTCTTCTTGGTTGGTTATAAAAAAACCGAGGAATTATTTCTCAGGTGGCGGTCATACCAGCCGGCTCAAGAAATGTGAAGATTCAAGAGAAAGTCAGTCCTGGAAACTACATCTCCATTGGAAGCGCGAAGTCGAGGAAGATTTATTTGAGTGGAGCAAGGTTGGTATCATCTGTTTCATTTTCATTCCATTTTCTCATTTATACAAAATAATCTAAAATATTTTATAACTTTTGATTGCTTCTATTATAGAAATACCACTTTGACTGAGTACTTCGTGGCTGGAGCGCAAGCAATCTATGAACGAGATCGCGATTGGGAGAAAGTGAGAATCTCAGGACCAATCGAGGAAGACATCAAAGTTTATGTAAGTACTAATTACTAAAATTGCGACAATTCAAGGGGCGGGGAGATGCTGATGCTGAATGAAGGAGTTAGCATAATGGCGGCAGACGAATGCTTTAAACTTTTATCAAGAGTGCCATCAACCAATAAGTTCCAAGACATTAAGAAAATCAACTAAGGAGAGCCATAAAGAAAGTATCTAACCTGTTATTGGCATTCCAGCAACGAATATACCGCGGCCGCCACCGCAACCCGGGCGTGACGTACCAGTACACGGTGGACCGGCAGCGGCAGCGGCGCTTCGGGTACCGCCTGTCCGACTGGTCGCCCTGCTCCGTGACGTGCGGCGTGGGCTACATGCGTCGTCATTACGAGTGCGTCGACGAACACAACCGTACGTAAACACTGTTTCGATTCTTTTTTGTTTTTTCTGTACAGACTGAAACAACCGTGTATCAGGCCCGGTTTCCACCAAAGCGGAGAGAAATAACCAATTAGATTTCATTATTTCCACTTCTTGGAGTCCTTCCACTCCACTAGTTGGAACCAAATAAATGTTTTTCTTTCTTTCTTATCTCCGCCCCGCACAGGAAAAATTTTACGGCCCGTCACTTCTCCGCTCTGCTACACTTTGGTGGAAACCGGGCTTTACACTGTCGAATCACTTGACTCTTCAACTTTTACCCAAACGATTAAGTCTATAGTGATGATGATGAATAATTTTCTGCTGAGCCTGAAACTCAATCAATTCTTTCACTCCTACACTGCTTTTCCTATACCTTGCGTAGACAAAAATCATAACTCCTCACTGAAAGAACAAAAAATATTCCCAATGCTGAAAAAAATCTTTGTCAACAGACCTGGTAGAGCAGTCGCAGTGCTACCACATCGAGCCGCCACGGCACGAGGCGCTGATGCAGCAGTGCCGGCCCGCCGCCTGCCCGCACTGGTGGGTCGGCGCCTGGAACCACTGCTCCAAGCCCTGCCATATGCCGGTAAAGACATAGTTTTGACTAGACGAGACTTTAAGGAATTATGCCTAAAACTCAATACATAATCAGTCATAGATTTTGTACTATCTGTCAGCCGTCAGACTCTTGACAGAATGGTAGTGGCGTCATGAGTGTGATTTGTTGTGGGTGGATATTACTCGCCTTAATATCACCATCTTTCTTAATGGCGGTCAACTTGGCGCACTCATACAGCTTTGAGTCTACTCTTAAGAATCCTGTGATTGATCCAAAAATATTGACATCACACCACGGAATCACACGCTTGAATTGAGTTTACGGGCCGAAGTCAGAGATGATGTATACAGGGTGTTAGGTACTAGGGCACTATTTAAGTTGTGAGCCTCTACAACATAACGTGTTGTTAGACGACATCTGATACTTTTAATGAAAAGTTTGACATTTTTGACTACAATCTTGTTCAAAACTTTTTATCATTTGAGCACGTTTTGTATTATTAACATTGAATTGAAAATTATCTTGACTACAAAAACATGGAATTGACTTGCGGAAATTTTCGCGCGAAGATTTATTATGACTTTCGACGTGGTTAATCAATACAAAAGTGAAGCGGTCAGCTAAATTTCAGTTTTAGTGATAAAGATCTGTCCTTTACCATTGTAAAACGCTAGTTTAACAAGTATAATATTGTATGTCATTGGCTCACCAGTGAACTTTGCGAAAGTCGTCCAAAATGACTAATAGTGGCGGAAAACATTGATGTTGTCAGAAAAATGGAAGAGAAACCTCGTCATGTGATATATCGTAGGATTGAGATAATCCTAGGCATTAATTTCACTAGCAGTAATAAAATATTGTATGACCATATTATGGTTAATACGTTTTTTTCTTGCTGGATGTCACAAAATTTTTCAAACGCTCAATAGGACGCTTGTGTCGTTTAATCCTTGGAAATCTTTGATAAATACGTTTAAAAAGGTTTAAAAGCCGTTTTTAAAATTGTGACAGTTGACGAATTAAGGATCTATGCATAATGATCCTGAAAATAAACAGCTATCGACTATGGAGGTGGTTTAAGATGAACCAATTACAACAAAAGTCCCATGCGCTCGGAACACTTTGAAACTTACGGTCGCCTATTTTTCCGAAATATCCGATTATATGACAGAAACGTCACTAAAGAAATTTAGAATGGTTAATTCGTAACAGTAAACAGCCACTTTTTTTCCAAAAGTCTTCAGTTTAAAAAGGGAAACTGACCAGCATAGTCGAATCGCCATTCGTAACGAAAATGTGAGCTTTTACACGTCTCGTCAAACAACTGACTATTTGAACACTCAAAATATGAAATAAACAGGTCCAACGCTACAAAATTCTTACTTGGAATCTAAACACTTCTTTTGGTACCCATATATTAAAATTAAATGCATGAACAGCGATTTATGTAGCCAGAAGCAACTGTCGGTGCGGTCAAAAACCATGTTTTGGAGGTGCCTCAAGCTGAGTGGAAAAAATGCTATGAAAAGTGTTTCGGACACATTAAAAAGTACATAAATCATGAAAGACAATACCAATAAACGCAATCAATACCATTTTAATAATTAACTACTTTGTTTTCATAGTTAGGCTCACAACTTAAATAGTGTCCCACGTAAATGGGTATATGAGCCGACACTATTATTTAAATTTTCAGACAAATCGGATATTATAAAATTTATTTTGTATGAAAATTAAAAAAAATAAAATGATGATATCAAATTTCTGACTTCACCATACCATTTATATGACCATGTTAACATGGGCTAGTGTCGGCTCACATAGCCATTTACCTAACACCCTGTATAATTCAATCACACTTCATAATCATGATGTTTTGTAGGGCGAGGAGGCAACGAAACAGCGCAGCGTATACTGCGTGGACAAAGTATCAAACGGGGTCGTGGAAGACTCCAAGTGCGACGCGGCGACCAAACCGATCAGCATCATCAAGTGCGCAGACGTCCCCGCGTGCTAGCGGGGCCACTACGCCTACTAAATGGATCACGTTACCTTGGATCAAACCAGAACAGAAACCTAATACACGAGTTACAAACAAAATATGAGAGTCAAATGACTGAAGACAATAAGAGATAAGTAGCAGATTACAAATTAATATCACTAAACAAATGGTGGCTACAAAATTAGTGACGTAACAAAATAATATAATGAAACGGTGAAAGTTAATGTGAAGTGTTTTGTCTTGAGTGAATCTAAAATTCTGACAAGAAAACTTTATTGAAACGACGATTGTGAGAGAGCCGGGAATATGTGTTACGTTTTACTTACAATGAATAAGTAACCCATCGAATAGACTTAAAATTACGCGTAAGAACTCGAATAGTATCACTTTGTGGTGACGTGCGAATCTCGCGAGACACGAAACAGTTTTCTGCAATTACCACTTACTGCCATATTACATAAGTAATTTCTAGTTTTAACATAGTCTCCGCTTAGTTTTTAACGACTAATAATATTTTTCAGTATTAAAGTGGTGTATGTATTTCTGGAAATATGCAGATTAAATGTGAAAGTGTTTTTGTAGGTACTATAAAAATTGGACCAAAAATATTTTAGAATTCAAATTCACGTTGCCATAATCACGGTTACTGCCAATATGACACTGTATTATAATAAAGTTAATGCATTAGGTCTTATTTAAGATTATCTTATTAGTACTAATAAAATTGATATTTTTATACAAATAAATTAGAAGTAGGTACACAAAACGTAGTGGGTAAAACATTGCTTACCTTTAGAGTATAGTAATACGTATACAGCTAGTCAACAATTTATGCAATGTTTAGCAATAATGATAAAGAACTTACTATCATTTCATGTCATCTTATAAGAAGTCGTAGTTTTTACGTACACATAAACTAAACTATATTATAATGTAGTTCATCAAAGTTTTGTACCTACTTCTCTTGATTATGTAACTATCGTAACAAATGCATTTGAATATGACTTAGTAGTTTTATCTATCGATTTGTATGTATAAAAATATTGAAATCATCTTTAGCTGGAACAAATATGCCGATATTTACAAACTAATTTATATTATGTTTTGTGCCTTCCCTTCTACATGTGACTATGCATAATTTTATATAAATTAGTAATATGTTATTTATATACGTACCTATAGGTATAACCCTTGTAAAAATAAGTTCATTGATGTTTCGGTTCTAAGATTCATCAAGGAACATTGTCGATCAATTGATACACAATTTTAATTGATCAAATGAAATGTATAGAACTAACTCGCTTAATATAGGTAATAAATATACTGGACATTTTGTTTTTGCGTTTTAAAAATTTCACATCGATGTAGTAGGTAATTATAATTGTGTATTTAATTAGACAAGACAATAAATCTTGCAATGTTATAAAACATCTTTTATTTTGTACCCTTCAATAGTCAAACTTTACTCTTCGTTTTTCGAATGAAAAAAAAACAACAAATTCAACAGTGAAAAAAATGCGTTCGCGCAAGTTATTCGATATTTCTGAGACACAGAACGACATACGAGGGGCGGCTGAAAAGTTTTGAGCCTAAGTATCTTCAAGTGTTATTATTGACTCGCGCTAAATTTAATTAATTTGCCAATAACCTCCTTAGTATATGTACAAAGTTTCATTTCATTAGCGTCATCACGCTTTTAGTAATTAATTCGTAAACATCATCATGTCTCAGTCATCCGCACAATGTACGAAATTGAAGTACACAGTTGTCACAAAATTCCTCAAAAAAAGGAACAAAACGCTGACGGTAACATTTGATGAGATGTTTACAGTTCATGGGGAGTCTGGGCCTTCATTTGCCATCATGAAATATTGGATCCGATAGTTCAAGCATGGCAGAGAGTCGCTAAAAGATGACCGCAAGTCAGGGCGGCCAGATTTCGCCATTAACGAATAAAATAAAGAAAATTTAATTAATCTTGCTTTAGAGATCAGCGAATTAAGCTGTGACAGATAGCTGAAGCCATAGGCATTAGCAAGGAACGTATTGGCGATATTTTTCATACTGATTTGCACATGAAATAGGGGTGCGCGCGATGGGTGCCAAAAATGCTCACGCCGCTCGACAACCAGCGTCGAGTCACAACTTCGCAGGAGTTTTAGGACATCTTTGGCCATAATCCTAACAATTATTTTTCTCACATTATCACTATTGATAAGTAATAGATCCGGCAGTACGATGTAGAGTCAAAATAAGAGTCAATGCAATGGATTTAAAAGAGAAAACGTCACCGCGGAAATTCAAAGTGGAGCGATCGACACCCAAGCTCATAGCCACTATTTTTGGGATGGTGGAGGAATTTTATTCATTGACTACCTAATTAAAAAAAACTACAATAAACGGAGATTATTATACTGTACTGTTGATAAGAGTGCGTCAAGTGGTTGTTGAAATATTGAGAGGCAAACTGGCGAATGGAAATCTGTTATTGCAAGACAATTCGCCCGCGCACATGGCGCATGTTGCATGGCTTGCCTCGGGTAAAATTGGATTTCAAGAAATTAATCACCCACCACACAGTTTAGTCCGAATCCTTAGCTATTTTGTCTAATTCTCAAATTGGAAAAAAGACCTTCAGGAACGAAGATTTTTGAGTGACAAAGAAATGAAGGCGGCGTTAAAGGCTCATTTCGAAGGCAAAGATTGCGAATTTTTTTTCAGTGGGTTAAAAGCTCTTTTACACAAATGTAAGAAGTCCGTTGTAGTAGAGGGAGATTAAATAGGAAAATATATTTTTTATACTTTTCTATCGGCATTTTTAATACCCTAGGCTCAAAACTTTTCAGCCGCCCCTCGTAATACTCTACGCTATAATACTTTTGATCCGATAATAGTCCCAACTGTAATCTGTAAATTAAAGTGGAAAAGATAATTGGGTAATTACTAAAAAACGTTGTTTAAAGTCGAATTTTGTTTAATTCTAAAGATGGAGTAATCGGAAAAAGTCACAGTATTTCAAAAATTAAAATTTTCACAGGCAAGTAAATCAGTAATTTTGTAACTAAATAGGTCAGTCTAAAATTTATCATTATTTTCTATCTTTTTAGGCAGTGATTAGCATTGAATTCCATTCATTCTGTATTATCTAAAAGAAAATATATGTGAAAAAAAAAGACAAAGGAAGTCAATATGTTACTTCCCATAATAGGAAATTGAACGTACGAGTATGCTGTCATTTTAATAACCTTTGAACCACAATAAAAGCAACTATGAAATGGGCATCTTTAGTACAAATCTCCGCATATAAAGACGTAGGCAATACCCGTGTTAACATCAATTGTTATTTTGTTTAACATTTCTTAGCGTTGTCTTTGAAGACCTACCAAGTAGGCACACTGGCTTTCAAGATAGATTTAATGTGATATAGAGGAGGAATAAAATATTATATGATTCACGTGTTTTTTCTTTATATCAAGCAATTAAATGATATAAAAGAATGCATTTAATTGTTAGAGTGAACATTGGTGGAAAAAATAGAAGTCCAAAATAGACACGAGTTATTATAGCGGGCTCAAAACGTGGGCCTATTTGACGGGTCGCCAAAGACAGACATTTTCAACTTTATTTCTATACAAATTAAAGACATTTGCGTCCCGATTGCGCTAAATATTTTCAACTGCAACGCAACTGGACGACGAACAAAAATCAGCTGTTTGCACAAATCCGTATCGCAGTGTCGCTTTGACAGCTAGTTCAAACGAAGTTGTAACGTAAACGAAACGCTACTGCGTCTTTATGTAAAAGCTGATAGAAAGCTACCTTTTTTTCAAACGCAAGTCAAACGCTTCAGGAACATTTGATGTGTTTTAGTGAAAAAATAAGGTGTTCGGACTTTTAATGGAAAGTGATAAAATCCGTTGTTTCGTCTTTGTTTGCGCGTGAACTTTACCGCGATACCGAATTGCACATCAGCTGGAATAAAAATGGAGAGTGACTGGAGTGTGGACTAGAGATGAAATGCGAATGTATTGGAGACATTACAAATTAGAGCAATCGGGGCATTGGAACTGTAGTTCAGATGAGTCATTAAAGACGAGGCAGATTTCTTTTCACTGTTTATCATTTTTATAGCATGAATGTTAAGATTTTTTAAACATAAATTCGATAGGAATAATAAAACTAAACTACAAATATATCTAGGTTTAAAACTAAGAGATCTTATAAAAGAAGAGTATTTTACCAAAATATTGTTTTCTAAGTTTATATGAGTAATAAAATAGGTGGACTTAATAAACGCTCTTTATGATACCTACCACATATAACTAATTGCATTAAATCATCGTGATGTCGCGCTACCTATGTAGAATGCTGTCATTTATCATAACTCACAACTTTTCTTTATCATTGCCTCCTTTTTTCTTCTGAAAATAAAGTGAAGATCTGCCTTGAGCGACAAAATATATTAACATTCAAGCATATTAAAAATGAAATAATAAATTAGTAACTTAATCTTCAAAGTTCTTTATTTCAAGAAAGAATGTAGCTACTAACAAAATTGTTTGATATTTCACAGTCATAAATTAAGCAGTTCCTGTACTTGATTCTTTTGATATTATTGCTTCGGAAGAAACATCAAATCGAATATTTTTCTTTTTAGCAGAGTATTTCTGAAAAATATGGCTTGATATCAAAGAACTGGTTGAAAATTTTAGGTAAAAGCACAGAATAATAATAAGTAGGTACTACGAATAGAAAGTTTTCTTGGTGAAGGTATTTAAAAAAATGTATGCTCAATGCCGTCAACAATATGGTGTAATTTAGCTTGTCTCAAGAGTCAAGCACCGTTTCGTTGACATATGTCAGTGATCGGTACTGTGACGGCGCCATAGGGCTGACTTCGGTAAATTAATGTGTGACGGAAAATGGCAGAGGAAATACAAGATTAATTATTTTATTATTCAGGCAGTTAAAATACTGCACAGTATTTAATACACCACCACTTTTTTCTACTTTCCATCATACATAGTTTATGTCTTTACTCTTTACAACGCAAATGGGTGAAGAATACGCGTGCGTGCGTCAATGCTCGCTTGTGAATGTCCTATCGATTATATATCCCAGGAGGGGTCGTCGATCGTATTTTGTTTTCCATGCAAACTCGCGGAGATGAACAGGCCTGGTAAAAATTTAAAGATATACTTAAGTATGTCATTACCTTATCTTTAGTTCGAGGGTCCTGAGCATTCTTTGAACGTTCTTTCTCGAGTTCGGTGTGCAAAGCTGCCAATTCGGCATTTAGCTCCGACTGCATGGTTCGCAAGTTTTCAACTTCCATTAATACTTCGGCTTTGTCTTTCACTGCGATTAAAAAAAAATGGTAAGTCTTAACTCAAAATATATCTTAACTGCAGAAAAATACATATATGACACATCCTTAAGATAGAAATTTATGATAGATAAATTATTATTCAATTTAAGTCCTTGGCGGCGTGGGGCGTAGCAGGCGTGGGATTGTTTGAGATATATTCAGCACTCATAATAATTTACACAAAAGGACATTTGAGTGAATGGAGGCGTTAAATAAATTAAAAAGTTTTCCACACGCCCGTCGACGTTGGTCCTTGTCGCGCGTAGCACCCGAAAGACTATGTCTGTCTACTATGGTAAATCAATACAATGTTACACTTAAAAAAACACTTACTTTCGCCCTGGCCAAGTATATTACACAATTTTTTATTCCTTGATTTTACTGTCAAAAGCTCCTTTTTAATAGAACTTACTTCTTCTCGTAAAGCTAATATCTCTTTATCTTTCCGCTCAAGGGCATCAATAAACTGAACTCTAGTTATGACCTCATCTGAGACTGCCAAACGGTGTCGGACTTTGTCAATGATTTTGTCTTTGAGAAGCTCTTGTTTTGTGTCATCTTTGATTCTTTCAAAAAACTCGGTATCCTTTTCAGCAGCTTTTTCAACTTCAAAAGTGTCAATTGCATCTTCAAAGTTGACTAAAAATAATTTATTATAGTGATTAACATAGCTTTAGCTTGGAAAGTTATACACTATTTATAAAAAAATATTGTGCAAGTTTAAAAAATCAACTAATAACTCATTTACCTTTTTCTTCACCAGAATTCACCATATCATTAAACTGATCAAGGCTCATCACATTTTTCTTCTTTTGTTTCTTTGTTGTGGTGCGCGAATTCTGTTCACTCAATTTCTTCTCATTTTCAGCTTCTTTCTTTGTCTGTTTGTAAACATCTTTTTTCTCTTCGTAATCTAGTTTTGATAAAAGTATAGCCTGAAATGAGATATTTAAAAATAATTAAGTAATGGAAAAAATAACAATTAAAATTAATTTTAGAAAAATATTTTTTATTACCTGTTGTAGTTCACTCTCAAAGTTGCCGTCCACAAGTTCCTCATCCTTCTGCTTCCAAGTTTCCCATTGTTCAGAAGTAGCAGCATTTTGCTTGGGCTTCTTCTTTTTTGGAGCAGCCTGAAAATTTTTAAAAAGACTAATTTTAATATCTACCCTCTAACCATCTAAGACAATATTATCATACATCAGTACTAAAAGTCTATTATTTAGTTTTTTATATTTAGGTTTAGTTAGTTATGTAGTTATTATATTATTCATGTAATATTTTAATAAACTACTCAACACCAAATATAAATATTTGTAAATTTAGAAATTTTGATGACCTATAATCAGTTTGGATTCAAGTTTGAATTTAAATTATTTAAAGCAACTACCTATATTTATATGCTTTCACATTAAGAAGAATATTTTTAGCTAATTTGCACATCATTAAAACTACAGACATCTCTTGGGTGAGCATAATAACAAAACAAAGGTTCATCAAGTACCTGAGTCTTAGTAGCACTTTTATTTTTTTTAGGAGGTTCAGCAGGCTTCTTCGCAGCACTTGGAGCTTTCACTTTCTTAGATTTCTGAACATCCCCGGTAGGAGGGTAGTCGTCGTCCTCAATTTTAAGTCCGGCAAACCGAGATTGTACAACAAGTGCAGCCATGTTTCTTAATTCAATCCTACATCAAAATAATCGCTTATTAATTAAAGAATTGCAGTTTCGTTCCTCAATCTGATAAATTGTTATTTATTGAATTTTAATACAAAACAAAATGTTTACGTTAACAGGGAGACAATTGTTTGTGCATGTATCTGGCACGATTGAAATTTGTCCTGCATTACGTATTTAAATTGTGAATAAGAAATTAATTGTGATAAATGAAAAATACTTACTGGATTAGAGTTGAAATTTTTAATTTGAAAACAATTTCGTCGTGTAAAACAGGGTATGGAAACTTCCATACAACGGTCATCGAAGTGAAACTTGCTTCCAAACAGCGACATCGGTGAATAAATTCAAATACTTTTTAACTACCCTAAAACGCTCTAGATGTCGCTGCTCCTGTTTCCTTCATATTTTCATTTTTTTCTTAATTAAAATATATTTGAGAATATTGTTAATTACAATGTGAAAACTTTTTTTAAATGAAATTAATTTGTTTTAATTTAAAACTGAACATTGACATTTTTGTTATAATTTACATAATAGAGTAGTAGAAATTACTATTTAACATATGGCAACTTTGTTTTTCCTCCAAAATGGCCGGTGTTGTTTTTGATATGTTAAATGCATTCTTGTTTTCTTATCCATCATTTAAGTTTTCTGTGGCCCTATTAAAGTATTGAAGAGTCGTCGAGTCAAATTCAAGTTCATTCCTTCGTACCTGCTGCTGTTCTGGTTCATCGGAGTTTTGTTCGTTCCTTCGTGAATCGCTAAGAAAGAAACTTTCTGTTATATTCACAAGTGATCTGAGTTTTCTCAATGTGCAAATGCTTTTTTAGTGTTGTTGAAAACTTTGCGAAAAGACGCTTTTGGTGTATAATATTATGTGTGTTCATAAATAAAGTAAAATTATTAAATTCAAAAGTTTTTGTTTACTTATTTGCATTTCCATGTGCAATGTAGAATTTTTCCAAATCCATTGTTTTGAAAATAATACAATACGTACACCATAAAGATAAATATTTTCAAAATAATGGATTTGAAAAAATTCTACATTGTACATCATAAAAACAATAATTCTTTGAAGGTTATGAGGGCCTATGTGTGCGTGAACTGTGTGTATGTGTGCGTGGACTTTATGTATGTATGTGTGCGTGTACTATGTGTGTATGTGAGCGTTACGTACGTAGGTTAAGTACAGGGAATTTAACACCAGGCTGTCAATTAGTAGGCTCAAAAATTTGACAGAGAGGGTTCTCTATTTCCTATGTATTACTTTTCTCTATGGTTGTTACAAGTTTCAGTGCTGCCAGTAAACATAAATAAATTGTAAGTACACTATTTAAATAGTGATGTCACACATAACTTGTTTCACCCCCAATTTAATGCTATGCTTAAATATCAGACTATTGACTGTAATACCTATTAGCCAATGCCATTAAAGAAATTAAATTTAAAAAAAAATATAGTGACAGTTGTCACTTTGGTTGTCACTTTTGACAGTTGTTTGTTTCGCAGATTCGCGGTTGTGTGGTTTGGTTGGTTTCTGTTTGTTTACTAAAATTTAAAATTAAAATACAATGAAACTTCAATGCCAGGTAGAAGTGGTAAATAGATTGTTAAACAACCTCAATATTAAATCTGGTGGAAGATACTTAAAGTCTACGTTAGCTCTTGCTAGGGAGCCAAAAAGTAAAGGCGACAAACCAGAGTATGTTATACTGCTTTTCTCTTCTATTAATAAAACGGGCACTAAATACAGGGTTAAATGTATGAAACAAGTATTCTGCAAATGTATTAACAAAGGCCTAAGTACATTGAGGTTTGAAGATCCACCTGTTGATTTGTGTATAAAAAGTGAAGTCACACAGTTGAAGTGTTTCTTGAAACTGCTGAAGTCATGTATAACAGGAGATGTGAAGGATTTGAAATTGAGTGACATATCCAATATATCAGTAACAGCCACCGATAATATTCCCACCAAATTATGCATCCGAGATAGAAGTCAATTTCCAGACAAAGGTTTGCCAAGGACTCTGGAATCACTTCAAATTATTGGGCTCAAATTGCATAATTTCCGTAGAGATATCTTATTACTGCGAAATCTCCTTGTATTGGATCTAAGTGATAATGAAATTGAAAAAATTCCTGCAGAATTTGGTAAGTAGGATTAACAGTTTTGAAATAAAAACTTTGGAATATTTTAACTTTTTAACCTTCTAATATCTTACAGGTAGAATGCCCAATCTTGCTGAACTAATTCTGGCCAATAATCAACTTGGTAATAAACCTGACATAGATTGGCGCTGGCTTTTTGGACCCCAAGTAAGTTCCATTATTAAATTGCTAAAATAATACAAATAAAATACTGCTGCTGTATCATTAAAACACAAAATCTTTCCTTTCAGATCACAAATAAACTAAAACTATTAGATTTGAGAGGCAACAAACTGAAAGAACTACCTAAAAGTATTTGGAAGTTACAAAAGCTTGTAACACTCAATGTGGATAACAACATGTTGTCTAAATTGCCTTCAACACTCGGCCGCATCAGCACACTAAGGTAAAAACTAGTATAATCTTTATCAGTTATAAATGCCACCAAATGTTCCCATAATAATAATATTAATTTGTATTATTTTTTTCAGATACCTCACTTTATCTCAAAATGAATTAGAGTCCCTGCCTTGTAGCCTGATGCATTGTCGATTGGAACACATAGACATCTGCAATAACAAGTTTCAACTTAAGAAAGGCAAAACAGAATGCCAAATGAACAGTCCCTGGGACATGTATGTGGGAAGTTTAGTACACTTGGCATCCAAGGTTGTTTTAAAACACAAATTATTCTATGCTCCAAATATAATACCAAGAACATTAGTGGAATTCTTAGACAATGCAAACATGTGTGTCTGTGGAAACCCAGTTGTGAATCATATATTTTGTCTGATGGAATTTGACTTAAAAACCTATTTTAATGTTGTTGTGTTTGATAACTATAGAAACAGCTCTGTTGAATTTGAGTGTTATTTTTGTTCACCAGTGTGTCTTTCAATTTGATTTAAGTTGTTATTCTTTTATTTATTTTCATTATTTATTAAGCTTTGTAAGGTCTGTGCTGTGACTGCTATGAATAAAATCAAAATAAATCTTTCCATAATTGTTATTTTATTTCAGTAAATATACATGTATTTATATTATAATAGTTTATTTTGGCTAGACTGTAATAAATGCTTGTAATATTTGCCACCATCAATAAAAACTTTAAGGTAATAAAATTTTGAATTACATTTTATCCAAACATCTACTATAAAATTGCTTTGAAATATGAATAATTAACCCTGCTGGTGCAGTCGGGTAAAGATCAGTATCTACACAGATAATATAATACTAGTGTATCTATCATAATGTACAGGCGACATCACGTCAACGTAACCACTATGGGTTCTTGTGCAGTTGTAATAGGGGCGAGTTTGCAACAAAAATAGCTAGCCTGATGTGCTGTCGTGTGTACATAAATGTGCCAACAACGATTTTGGGCGACTTGAAAGGCTAATAAGTTAGTTTCTGCTCTGGCGAGTTTAAATTCACGCTTCGCGAGTACATACAGCACCATCGTATTAACGAAGTCTCGGAGTTCACGAATATATTTGTGGTTCCGGTTGATATCAAGTTGAGGGTGTAACAGTGCTATACAAAATTTTTGATTGCTGAATTGATTCATGTTTTTCATGGAAAGTTGAATATCCAACTGGTCTGGTTCAGGGAGGCACCATCACTAGTTTAAGCCTTCCAGTTTCCATTTTACATCTTGGATTACTGGTGCAATTCTTATGTGCGGTTCTGAAAGAAATTATAATGGTTAAGAATAAGAATGTTAAGGTTGTAGACTGTTTTGAAATTTGTAAAGTAGGTACATAATTGTGTGATTACCTAAAGTAGCTATGCCCTCAAGTTTACTCCCAGTTTCTGGACCAGTCTGTGCTGCTATTGTAGCCTTTGTTGCTTCCATTACTAGATCATTAGTCCAAATATCTCTGAAACTATCTTTCATCTCTTTCAAACACTTTTCCAGTGTCATCTGAAATAAATTACACATTTTATTAATGCTTTAAATATAATAAACACTGAATTTTGTTGGTAATAATTACATAAATAATTACTTGTAAGATTAATGCTTCCTTGTCTTTATCCAGGCAGCTTAAAGCTACATTGAGTTGCTTCACTTGTAGCCGTAATTCGAATGTTGATGTGACGACAGTGTGAAGGGCCATTATAAGTGCTACATCTTCGTACTGTGAGCCTTCTTTTAGAGATGCTAATTTTCGCTCATGTTTTCTCCTATTTTTGCTTGACCGGAAGCTTCGACTGAAACAATTATTATAAAAACACATATTATAACTTAGCAGTTTCAATAATTTGTTATTTTTAAAACTACATCAGTTATTAGGCACAACTATTAGTCTAGTATAAATGGCAGAAGGCCGCCTTTTTGCCCCGTTCTATGTGCATGCATAGGTGAATATCACTTGCTCTCACCTTGAACCCCTAGATGAAGATGCTAAAGTACTACCAGCGTCAGAATACAAGTCGCAGTCTCTGATGGCGTAAGAAGGATCATATATTTCACTGGGTCCCTTATTTTTATTTTCTCTAACTACTTGCAGACGGTCTCTATGCTTTGTGAAATTGCTCCAATTTGCATCTATTAATTCTTTCAAGTTTGTATAATCTTCAAGAACAGCTGGCACTAATGTTGTTTCTGTAAATAAGATATTATAATAGGTTAAAAAATGTATTGAATAAAATAAAATTATTACTAATCATGCTAATAACAGAGACATACCCCTCAAGTCAGATTTGCTGTGTTGTGAACATAGTCTCAATGCAGTTTTGTAATGTCCACTTTCAATTGCATAGGATATAGTTTTTTCACAATCGTCATAATATTTCTCTAAAATATTTAGTGCTTCATTATGACGTTTTTCTTCCTTTAAGGCATTCACAAGATCCCTAAAACAACAAGAATGAAATAAATTTATACTTAGACATTGTATACACTTCATGAACTATTTTCTAAGATATAACAGAACACTTACCAGCACAATTCCTTAAAATGATCTGATGTCCACCTGTTGTATGCTACTTCTATAGCTAATTCCCACTCTAATGCATCTTTATAACATTCAACAGCCTTTTCATAGTTTCCAGCTCTTTCAAAAACAATCCCTGCTTCAACATGTTGTTTTTTTAGTTGTAAGTGATGTCCAAAATCATTTGATATTTCCTTGTAGATGTCACTTCCCACAGGAAATTGATCCAACGCCTCCCTGTATAGGCTGTGGTACTTCACAAGTGTTTTCAGCTCCTCATACTTTTCAGGACCACACATCACCAGGCACTTGACAGCCTTACTGAATCTCTTCAAATATTTATTAATTGAGAACTGTTTATAGTTTTCGTCCATTTCATTCAATTCATTTAACATAGGGATGTACTCCTTTGGGTCCTTTTGAGACTTGTCAGCGATAAGCAGAACTAAACCAAAGTCGTACATACCTAGAGCTATATTAAACAGCTCATTAACATCTACCATATAAAGCAAATATTTAATAGCATCATCTGATCCAATGGCTAGTTTCGATCCACTGTTTTCTCTTGTTTTCAGTTTTTTGATGATGGAAAGTGCACTTTCCAGATCTTCCACAGTATTTTTCTTCACATACGTAGTCAGCAAAGGCACTATTTTATGGTCAATATCAGCCCTTTGCTTTAAATGTGAACGAACCATGTCACAAATAGTGTGTACCTTTATGTGGCTCACTGTGCTTCTTGGTTTATTTGGGTAACTACTTGCGTACATTGTTTTGGTCACATCCACATTTTCTAAATCTGACAGGAAAAGTGTTAGCCAGGAAACATTTTGTATAGATCCCAGGAATATATCAATGGATTCAACAAACTTTATTGGATCATGATCATAAATTAAGTTCAAATTGATCCTCTGCTTCCTCATCAAATCAAATGCTTCATGATATTGCTTTGCATCAAGGTATTCACCAATTACTTTCAATGACAGTGGCCTTGGTTGAATAGCTTCCAAGTTTCCTCTTGGCATTTGAAAGACTGTTCTGGTATCATTTGCAACTGCAACTACTAATTTTGTTCCCCTTTCTATTTTCCTTTTGTAGATCTTTTCTGATGATTCATTGGTTTGATACTGAATTATTGCATCAAGTCCTAACTTTGTCAATTCAGTGCATAACAGTAAATGTTGTAATGTAGTTATAAGTAAAAAGTGAGTGTGAACAAAATAAGAGCTTACTCCATTCATGATAACATTCCCATTAATGTTCAAGGTATTTTTGTGGGACAAGCCCAAGTAATACAATGTTTCGTCTATGAAAAGCAGACTGAATTTTGGACAAGCTACTGAAAAAGACATGCCTTGAGACTCTATAGAACCTCCCTTGTCATACCTTACAATTTCTCCATTTCTTAGCTGTATAAATACCACTGTATTCTTAGCAGGATGTGGTTGTATTCTTAAGCCCCCACCAGGTAGCAATGTCCTACTGTCTTGGACAAACTTCCCAGGTTCAAATCTGTATTCTAGTACATAACAGCTTCCATATTCTGCTTTTGTGCATAAAATAGTGTCATGGTTCATCCAAAACCAGTTATAATATTGGTATGGGAAATCACTGACTTCTATATTTAAAACTTGTGATTGGTTATACTCCAAAGGGAACTTTTGTTTCTGTTCATAAAAAATAAGCTTATTATTAGTAGTGATAACAAAAAAGTTGTTACTACAAACACCCTGTTCTGAGGGAGCAAATTGTACACAGTTAATGGGGGAGTCTAACTCAATTTCTGCAGCAGACATTGGTGGAGGCACCACTGTTTGTCTGAAACCAGTAACCAAAAGTTTTTTTCCATCTATCACAGCCACCACAGCATCATCATCAGAACTCTGGCCTCTGCTGTGGTCTACATTCCAAATCCATTTATACACCAAGTGTTGACCATTTTGTAAAAATATATGCAGGGTTTTATGACTTGAAACATCAAAATCATTATCCCAGATGATTTTGTTTATTCTCTGCTCACTTTTGAACTGTAGAGTCTGTTTGTGAAACCAGTGGTAATTACTTGATGTGAATAAGAGTAGCTCTTGTGTGTTTGTTTCAATGCTTCCACACAGCAATGTAAGTATTTCAGAATCTGAACTCCAAGTAATATGTTCAACGTAAGCTGTAGGCTTTACTGGTATGGAGAAACTGCCATGTTTTAGACCATTTTTCTCAAAAAATGATACAATATACTGATCAGAAAGTCTTTGTGTTGTAGTAATGACATTTCCACTGGGTCTCCATGATAGATTGGCTTCCAAACCTGGTTGCTTTTCACTTGTGTACAGAAGATGACCTTCTCTGTCAAAGACTTTAAATCTTCTTAAACCGTCCATATTAAAACCAATGGCATACATGTTTCCATCGCCTCTCCATGTTATTTTGATTGAATCATCTACTCCTGATTCTGTAAGAAGTAAAAGAGGAGTAAGACTCAACAATTTCTAGCTATGTGTATTATCAATTTCTAAGAAAGAAAGAAAGAAAGAAAGAAAAAGTACATTTTAAACTATGAAACCTTACCTGGTGTAATTTCTGTTTTCACTTTTGCTGCCTGTTTGCCTTCAGACCCATGGAATTGCGTTTCTTTTTTGCCCCAGCCAACAGTCATAAATTTTCGCTGACCAAATTCCTCATCCAAGAGGTTTACTTCCTGTATAGTGTCATATGTGCATGACATCAATATAGTATCGTAACTTTTTGTAGCTAATACCAGTAACTCTTGGTCTGGGCTCCACTCCATAGCCTAAAAAGGTGCATTTGTTATTTTTGTTTACAAGCAATAATGGAAGGAAACTCAAAATTATTTGGTTACCAAATGTTTTTTAAATGCAATTTTTTAAATGTTATGGATGATGGTCAGCTTACCAAAATGCCACTTTCACACACTCCAGCCAGCTCACATATGCTACCAGACTCGGCAATTGTAACAAGCTCTCCATCTTCTAATCCCACACACAATGTATCCAGTAACGAAAGATAAGTCACGTTAACTGGTTTGCTTTTATTTAATATGACGTCGGAAAGGTCTTTCTGCCATTTAACTTTACCATCATCAGCAATGTTGGTGACTTGGAGGTTAAGTGAACATGTATACAGCTCAGCACAACTACGTTCATTATGGCTGTAACTTAGGGTTAAAACATCTTCCGCATTTATCTTGTGATTCTTTTTAGACACATCCCATAAGATTAAATTCTTCATTGTTAAAACTAAACCTAAGAAATTATAAAAACACGATCTCCGAACCAAAATTTTCGTCTTTTACAGGTGACACTAATGACATTTTTACTTTTTTTTATCTTTTTAATATTTTTGAATCACGGCTGTAGACCTAGCAACTAGTTTGAGCTCAGAAACACTGAGCTCATTTAGAAATAGTGACGTTCTTCTAAATTATTTATGTAGGGTGAAAGCACAATCTGGGGTATACAGCAGGGTGTTAGGTAAATGGGTATATGAGCCGACACCAGTGTCTCCATATACACGATAATTACCGTAGATGCACCGTAATCAGGTCATTTTCTACCGTCAAGGTAATAATGTATTACCGTGTCATAAATCACCGTATTAGAATTATGAATTACTTTGCTGTATTATATTCATGGTATAGATATATAATACATACAAACAACAGGCAACACTGCCGAGAGACCGAGGGGAATCCCAGAATATTCTAAAAGTCGATCTCTACCAACAAACATCGGCAATCTAGTCTCAACCTTATTTAAGCCAACTAACGACATGTTGTTAAAAATGAATAAATCAATTTACGAAAAAGATACTGTGATGCTAGGAGAGTCTGATTCAGAATAATATTAATGTTACATTTTATATTTCACGTGTTATTGCTTTTTTTATTAAAAATTAAAAAAAAAATATTGTGTTTTGTTTCATTTCATAATAATATTGTATTTTTTCCTTTGATAAATTACACGGTACATTTTTAGTAGTTTCACCGTAATTTGGTATAAAACACCGTATTTTTACGCTAGCAACACGGTAACTCACGATTTACATATGGAGACACTGGCCGACACTAGCCCATGTAAACATGGGCTTATAAATGGTATGGTGAAGTAAAAATTTGATATCATTATTTTTTTAAAATTTTCATACAAAATAAATTTTATAAAATCCGATTGTATGATAAATAAAATGAAGATACCAATTTTCTGACTTCACCATACCATTTATATGCCATGTTAACCAAACATCTTGTATAAATTCATATTTAGATAATAGATAATTAAAAAAATATTTTTCTTCTTACACTACATTTTTATTGAAATAACAATTAAAATGAAAACTACAAAAGTAATAATTAATTTTACACATCAGGGTAGTAAGTGGTTTCGAACTTCTTCTTGCTTCTTGGATATGGTCGGAGAACTTTAGGAATATAAGGTGGCAAATGTTCGTCCAAACGTCTCTTGTAAGGGTTTATGTCAAGTTCAAATGGCCTTCGTTTTTTCTCATGGTATCGTGTATCAAATTTTATTTTATAAATCTTTTCCCACAGATATACTTCTGGTTCCAAAAAGTGTTTGGGCCTATTTGATACTAAATGCTTATATCTGCTTTCTAGCCAACACCGCTTTTTATCATCTTCTATATCTGCAACAATCTGCTCTTCTTTTCCTAAGAATGGCTTCAAATCATGTTCACGTTCCTCTGGAGAGTTCAGGTAGAACTGTACTAACATTTTTAAGACTTCTTCATTTAAACCATTAACTTTTCCATTTTCTATGTTATCATACAGTTTCATTGGCTTTGTACCAAAGCAAACATTATGTTTAGGGTTTTCATCCATTTGCTCATTATGCATCACTATTGTGTTCAGTTGGTAAGCATAAAAAGACCAAAGTTGGCCATTTGTGATTACTGTTTGTGTTACCAAGGGATATGTTATGTCATTGTATGTAGTAAATCCTTGGAAATTTGCTTGTGCAAGTAGCCATCCAAAACTAGCCTTCATAGCTTGACAATGTAGTGCTTCCAAGTTATCTTCAGGTCCAAAAGTATCTTTTCTATCAAGAATGTGTCCCCTGCCATGATATGACAGCACACCAAACTCATCATAATCACCAGGCCAATATCCTGAAACAGTAGAATAATTTTATTCGTTTAAATTATTCAAATCAAGAGTATAATTATAAGTAGTGGTATAAACCAAATTAATTAATCAAACACATTAATTACCTGGTATATTAGTCCCATGTCTGAATTCCTGAAAGTACCCAATATTGTTAGGGGCATAGGTAAATTTTGGTACTTTGAAATCAGGATTTTTTGCTTCACTATAAGGTATAATGGGTTTCAAAGGCAGCTTGTTTCTCAATGTCAAGAGAGGAGTACCTGTAAATCAATATAAGACATTGATTACTAAAACAATTGCAAGTTATGAAAACAGCTGGAACATTTTATCAGATTTTTATGAGACATCTTAGCTGAAGATGTCTTAATTTTTCAGTTCTATTTGTGCATTGAAATTAATATTATTATTTACCTTTGTATTGTACAGGCCTGTCAACATTCTCGTCCATTCTTTCTTCATAACACTTGTACTTTTGGCGCCAAAGGCGTACTGAAGTGGGGATATCTACCCCTCCAACAAACCAGAATGCTTCATGACGTGGTTCAAAGTCTACCTAAAAACCAAAATAACCTTATTAATAATTACCAAATGTTTGTGTGAAATATAGTTATTTTAGTAAAAACTAGCATACCTGTGAGGACAATATATGAGGAACTTTGTCTGTCAGATTATTACAAATTATTCTATTGATCTGCTTTACGATGCACTTTGCAACTGCATTTTCTTTTTGGCTGAGTTCTGATTTGTCTGTAGACAGCAATACCTCACGACTGAAATATAAAATGTTATAGAGTTCTTTTTTTATCATCTAATAAATTATGAGGTTTAAAATATCTACTTACTCCACTCCCTCTGACTCAATACATATAGCATCTTCAATAAATGATTTTACTTCTTTTGTGATTTCCTCTGCTGTAGAAGTATTATCTGCATAAGAATCGGGAAGTTTTTCTGAAGGTATGAAATGAGTTCTAGTGTAACATTGAACTAAAGGCATGGCATTATACGGTACTTTATCTTCATGAAGCATAACACACGGCCACCCATAATATCGTGGCATATTCAGAGCCATTTGTTTCTCTTCAACAGTATTCAGTTTTTTTATTTTCTCATGAATAATTTGCCTTTCTCGTAATTTTCTTCCTGGAATGGACATATCCAATATTGGCGGATACTCCGGTGTTTCAGTGTATTCATTCTGATCAACTAAAGCAGCTTGCGAATAGTGTCTTGATAAAATAGTTTTAAGTTTAGAAAATGTTCTGTGCGTTCGAATTAAATACATTTTTAATATTTTTGTACAATAAAAAATAGGTTAGGTTTTTACAGAAATGACTTTTTACTTTTTTTGGGATCACCACCTCACGAGGGATGTGACACAAAAATTAAAATTAGATTTTTTTCGGTTTTACATCACTAAACCTCGTTTCTAGCCAAAGTACTCTTGTCCAATGCCGGTACAAATGAATCAACGAAAAAGTTAGCAAATCTGATGCAACAATTTTGACGTTTTCTTTCATTTCTCAACTCAAAGGGTCAGTACATTTTGGTACATTTTCTAACCAAAAAGACATCGAGTGTGTTGTGTTATTTTAAATTGTGCAATCATGGAAGAAGAAATGATATTTGATCCTTCTCTCAAGAAGAAAAAGAAGAAGAAGATTGGATTCGACGTAGATGCAGCGCTAGCTGAGCAAGAAAACACGAGCGTGGAAGCACCCGCTGAGACAGGTGACGTCGACGTGCCCGACGACGATAACCTTGATTTAGATACTTTTGGGAAAAAGAAGAAGAAGAAAAAGAAGTTCTTCAATCTGGATGAAATAGAGAACGCCCTGCCAGAGACTCCTCCGGCAGAGGAGCCAGACCCGCAGGAAGAGGAGGTCGTAGACGATTTAGTGCTAGAGATAGATTTTTCGAAGAGTAAAAAGAAGAAGAAGAAGAAAAACGTAGATGATCTGCCTACAGAAGATGATGTCAAAGGTGAAGATCAAGAAAATGTTGAAGATGTACATGGTGACTGGATTGGCAGCGATCGCGATTACACTTATGACGAACTTCTCGAAAGGGTCTTTGACATCATGCGCGAGAAGAACCCTAGCATGGTCTCAGGAAAGAAACAAAAGTTTATAATGAGGCCGCCCCAGGTTGTTCGAATTGGTACAAAGAAGACATCTTTTGCCAACTTTACAGAAATCTGCAAAACCCTTCACAGGCAACCAAAACATTTGCTAGATTTCTTACTTGCTGAGTTAGGTACTAGTGGGTCAGTGGATGGTAACAGTCAACTTATTATTAAGGGCCGTTTCCAGCAAAAACAGATAGAGAATGTCCTTCGTAGATACATCAAAGAATATGTTACATGCCACACATGCCGCTCTCCTGATACCATTCTCCAAAAAGATACTCGATTGTTCTTCCTTCAGTGTGAAACATGTGGATCACGCTGCTCCGTTGCTAGTATCAAGTCTGGTTTCCAGGCAGTCACTGGCAAACGTGCAGCCATTCGTGCAAAGACTGCATAAAGTATTAGTGCATAGTGATAAACTAATTTTACTGTTAAGGGTCTGGGGTACATACAATAATAATTCTTGTCTGTGTATTTTTTGAGTCATACCTATCTGTTCAAATCTGGTGCTGACATTTGTAATTGTGTTCAACAATTGTGCAATCGAATATTATAATTATTAGACTTGGTTAGGTAAAGGTATGTATGTACCTTGGGCTCTAATCAAAAATATGTTTGTATTTAAAAAAAAAGCTGTTTTGCTCTTGTTTAGATTAACTTTCACAATTTAATACCATGCCATGTTATTATGTGCAGTGTACAAGATTATGCTTTGCAATAGCTGGTCTAATATTTGCAAAGCTGTATAGTTAGCTAAAGTTTTTTTTGTATGAAATTGTGTTGTATAAATACATATTATGTGCTCAAATAGTAACTCTTGGAACCATTAATGAACAAAAGGTTTATATGGATGTACCCCATCATCCTGTAATCCCAATATTTATGTATAGCTCACTTCTGTATTATTCTCATCATTGATACACAATGTTTTATACATAGTTGTTTTATTTCATAATTTTCCTTCTGTCCCCTTAATAAACGAAAAATCAGCATCCGCTGCAATGTGATAAAAGGGTCCATGATAAAAGGTGCTTCAGCAAAAAGCAAGGCAACCCAGCTTGTATGTTGGTATTGAGCAAAAATATTTCACTTTGGCTCTCTGTGGCTTAAGTTTCTAACCTTCCAGGAGATAAATGTTATTATTATTTTTTTCTAGTCTTTTTTTTTTCTCCATTCTTTCATAAATAAAAAGTCTGGGTAGTTATGTAGTTAACCTGTCATTTATTATGTATTATTATTCTGTTTAATGGCTTCAATATGCGTATTTGAAGCACACGTATAATGTTATTTACAAACTTTCAAGGATACAGAAAAACATCAAGAACTTCAGAGAACAAATTTAATAAAAGTAGTTTATAAAAATATTATTTAATTTTAACAAAACAAAAACAACTACTTAGATCTTAAAACTAAAATTGGAAATTATAAAAATAATAAATAAAAAGATTATTTTAAAATTAAGATTATAGAATTTCTTTGAATCTTCCGTTGCTTCCTCGGCTCTTGTATCTACCCTATCATAATGGTAAAGTAAATACTAATAGCATGATTGTTTTTATTGGATATTTTATATAAACTATATTATTAATTTTATTTTATTATGACGTAGATGGGTAAGTACATGCATAAGTGTGTAGCATACTACATTTTATTATAGTTGCCAAAAATTAGCATCCGTTAAATTTTTTCAAGTTGTCACATCATTGTTTAACCATTTGATTTATTTATTTTACACAGTTTCATAAAGATTGTGCATTATGAAAAAACTGAAATGGATAGCTGGAACTGTGGCACTGTATTTGGTTGGATTATTATTGGGTAGGTACATTGGCCCTTGGACTTCCGGGACTCCCGGACCGGGAGTGAATGAGAGTGGTGAAGCCACCACAACACAATGTCCAAAATGTAAAGTCTAGTCCACATTGACTGCATTTACGATCGTTCTTTTTCAAACGAAACGGAACCGGAAGTTTAAATTCTAGACTATAAAAAGTAGTCAAAACAATCTCTATATATTGGGCAAAAGTAAACGTAACTGATAAAAATAATAATTTTCCGAAAATAAGTAATATTAAAATTTAATTAATAAACAACATTTCGTAAATATCTCTTGTTATAAATAACAACATTATAAAAAGTTTAACCTACATTAAGTAGATAACCCTTAAACACCTGTAAGCGTTAGTCACCAACTAAAAAACATTTTCTATGAAAATAAGATTTAAATGAAATTCATCGATCTACACCCTTAGGTGGCAAAACGATAGCTGTAATTTCTAAATCCCTTTACGGAGTCAAATAAACTACATACAAAAAATACCGGAGAGATTGGATTTAGAAATTACAACTGATACGTTTTGCCATTTGTCCAGGGGGCTGTACAATTTATGTTTATTTTTCTTTGTTTCTGATTACTTGAGGTTCATAATCATGTTTTATAGCTTTATTAAGGCTATCCGCATACATGTCTAATCTTTGAGTCATAGTAAATGCCCATTTATCTTTGATTTGACGGCAAAGGTTCAAATCAATTCGTGCAATGAGTAAGCCATCTTTGATTCTCGAAAGTCAAGTGGGTCTAGACAAAGTGCCATTATAATCGCAAACCAGTCGAAAAGTGGTCGAAAAGCCCCTTTTTTGTATGGAATTTGACGGATTCGATTTTCGATTCGATCAAAAAGTGCGTTTTGTCTAGGGGGGCAGGTGTCCTCGTTCCATCAGGAGCAGTGATATAACTCGATCCATAAAAGTGGCCAAAATCTTTATGAGCTGGTTTCCCATCCCCTGAAGTAAATTCATTCGGGAATGACTCAGTTCCCACTCTATTTATAGCACAAGTAAAATAACTATTAGCTATAGCAGCGTTGCGGGCTTCAACCGCCCAAAGATGTTCACTTAAACCATGAACAGTTGCTGAAGGATTAAAAACTATCTCAGCTCCGTTAATGCCAAACATCAACCAGTTCAATGGGTGATGACGACCATAGCAAATATTAACAGCTATTTTACCAAACTTTGTTTCAAAGACTGGATGACCAGTGTTTCCTTCAAAATAATAAGTTGACTCATTGAAATCGCCTACACGAGGTATGTGATTCTTTCTATGCTTTCCTACAACTTTTCCCAACTCATTTATAATCACAGCAGTGTTCCAAATAGTATCACCATGTATATCATCTCTTTCTAAAATGGGAGATATAATTACCATGCCATATTTTAGAGCCAAGTCTTTCAGAAAGTTACTACTAGGACCATCCAAGGCAGATTCCGCGAATTCACACCATGGTTGCTTTTCTCGAGTGCAAAAGGCAAATGGCATACTCCAAGCTTCTTGTAAGCATATTACGTTCACACCTTCATTGGCTGCAGACTCAATAATATTCCGTATTTTATCAAAAATGGCTTGCCTTTGTTCTGCAACAGGTTTATTGGTGGCAATAGCGATAGAGTGCTGGATAACGCCAATTTTTACAATACGAGGTGACCGAATTTCTTCCTTCTTTGTAGGAAAATCATATGCTGCAACTTCAAACCCATTTTTGGCTGCAAGTTCAGCAGAACTCCTACATAATTCAATTACATTATGGTCAATTCGCCCATAGTGAATCCTATTATATTCTTGCAATTCTTTTTCCGAAAGAGAACTCATAATCAGTTTATCTAAACTTGGGAGTTGGGATGTCGATGCCATTTCTGTAAATAGAAACTAGATGACACTTAAACAATTTTTTATGGGCGCGTGACACACTTTTGTACTGCACAGAAACAAGTGAACTAGCAGATCATGTATTCAATTCAACTATTTCAATCCTGAAGGCCACTTTAATCACTACTATAGGTCAACAGTCGACTGTTTGTAGATAGGAAAAAGCGATTTGAATCTTATGAGTTTTAATAAATGCGATCGGAACTAATCCCGGTTTTAAACTGCCACTATTGTGTTGTTGTGATAAAGTTTTATAGTGCGCTGTGAATATTTTCTTATCCTTATCTAATTGCGTTCTCTTTACATAAATTATTATTGTTACACATTATCATAATGTTATGTAATGTTAAACAAACAGCGTATTACAGTAGAAAACTTTAAACATGTCTAATGTTTCATGGCCCGCTGGTTTTAGGGGAATTACACTTAACGGCCACTCTATGACTCTATCATTAAATATTCTACCAGTAAACGCTATGATGAAACCTTTTTATTTACATGGTTAAAATGTTGTAGTTTTATCACCTCTTTTTATCCAACATACGAGGGGCACCGCCCTTGATCTACGACGGCACATCACTATTGTCGTGTTCGTTTTCATTCGTCTTTTTGCTATCGTTCTGTCAATTCTGTCAAAAATCTCGACCAAGCAGCAGCCCATGAAGCTAAAGATAAAAATGGAGGCCAGACTTGGAACAAAAACTTGAGTCAAATACCTACTTATCTCTATCTCGCTCTCTGTGGGCCGACCTCTCTTTTTAGCGTGGACTGTAGCATTGCTATCTCCTGACTTAAATCTTCTAGTAAATTCTTCGAAATAGCCAAATCACTAACCAAATCAAGGTTAAACAAATAAATAATTAAATATTTGAACTACGATTACCTAGTTGAATTAAAAATCACAAAATTGTCCACCGTTTACGTTTAATGTGTTGGCGAATCAGGGAATTACAATCCCAATTCCTGGGGAATCGGTACCATGTGGCAACATCGGCCCAATACGGCCCATCATGGCGGTTGTTTACTATTTTGTTTATTATGCAGTTAATTTCGTTCGAGATTGTTTACAGGAAATAATCATTGTTTTATCACAAGAAATGGTGCAAAATTTTGTAGTGCGTGGTTGCGGTAGTACGTGGTGTCCTGGAAGTGAAATAAGATTCCACGCGTAGGTGTTTATTTCGTGATTTCCGACATTGGATCATTGTAAACATTTTTCACATTTTTTACAATAATTTCTTCCTATTAAGTTTTACCAGTATTTACACTTATCATTTATTAATGATACCTATGTCAAGAAATAAAGATTTTACATTGAGTTTCATTGAATTTGAGAAAATTTATATTTTTTGTTTATTTAGAAAGAGAGAGTTTGCCCACAGAGAGCGAGATAGTGATACATAGTTTATGCTTCAAGTAGGTATTCAGAGTGTGGCCTCCATTTTCATCTATAGCTTCATGCAGCAGCCCACAGATTGGAGAGTATGTCAGCCCACACAAGTGTCAAAATTGTCTGTTGTCTGTCAAGTCAATCAAATGTGTTCGTTCGTCGTTTCGTTTTGTGTTGCATGGTGCGTTGTTGTTACAAAAAACAATAAACGAATTAATTTTTGTGATCGTTGTTAAGTGTAATACAAATTAATATTGATTGCTGGTGTCAAGGATAGTAACCTCCAATAAAGCTTTTTTATCTTACCGAGCAAAGGTTTTGTGGGAGCAATAATGTCGAACATAAATGTTTTGCCTGCTCAACCCATGGGCATCCAGAGTACAGCGGGAGCTGTACCTGTTCGAAATGAAAAAGGTAATTAAACTAGTGCTTAATTAATTTATGTTTTATACCTACTTAAATTTTAAATGAAGAAATCTGTACCTAAAGTTAATAATCCAACCATTGGTCATAATCCAGTTTTCTCATTGTGGAGAAAGAAAACGCCAAAAAAATCACTCATCGGTATGTAATTTATATTTTTGCAGGTGAAATATCTATGAAAAAAGTCAAGGTTCAGAGATACATCTCTGGAAAGAAGCCCGACTACGCACAAGGAGTTTCCTCATCAGAGGAATCTGACAGTGAGGACTTTATAGAGCAACAACGCCCTGAGCGGAGACAGCAAATCCTGCCTCAGATTATCACTCAAAAAGAAGACTTCAGTGACACTGAGAAGGAGGTAGGTATTCTGTACAAACAAGAGCACATCAAGCGCGACATGATTAGGTGTGATTTCACAATAAAAATTTTCTTCTGACCAAAACTGTAGTCAAAATATGTATTGTCAACAGCATGGACCTATCAACAGTATACAATTTTTTTTCCAACCTTATTAATTTATTGGACTTGTTAAAGTTATTGGACACTCAAACCTCATATACTCATAGAAGCCATATATCAAATATTTCAGATTGATGATCCACGTCTAAGACGATTGAAAAATGCAGCCCGCTCACCAAATCGTCGTGCGGAACACAAACCAGAGATCATTGATGCTGAGCCAGAACAAGAGTCTGAGGACAGTGCCAACGAGGCTAAGGACAGTTCGGAAAGTGAAGATGAACTTGATGAGGAAGAGATTGAAAGACGTCGGCAAGCCCTCAAAGCAAAACTTGCAGCAAGGTTACTTTTTTATTTAAACTTTTCATGATTTCTTGGCAAAGGCTTTCTTGGCTTCTCCCAGGCTCCTCAAAGAATGCTGATTCTGAGGCCAGTTTGACACACTTTCTTATGACACTGCCTTTCTTGAGAGTTGCTTCTGATGAGAATCTGATTCTGAGGGCTTCACCCACGTGAAGTTTACTTTGTCACAGATCGTCATAAAGTATGTATAGCCTATTATGTTATTCTGGACTATAAACTATAATACTGCGAAGTTTCATTAAAATCCGATCAGTAATTTTTGCGTGAAAGAGTAACAAACATGTTGACATCCAGACATCCAAACAAACTTTCGCATTTATAATAGTAGTAGGAAGTAGGATTAGAAAAATGAAGTACAATTTTTTATGTATATTTATTATATTACAGAGAAGCAGAAAAAGAAGTCCTAGGCAGGGATGAGGATGAAGATATGCTAGAAGGAGATAAAGAAGAAAGTGGCTCTTCAGACACTGAATATACAGACAGTGAAGAAGATACAGGTTTGTAAAATATTACTAGCAGGGCAGGACAAAACCCTGTTTACATAGTTTCGGGTCTATCTGTCACCGTCGCTCATACTGGCATCTCGCTTTGCATGAGAGGGATGGCAATATTCGAAACTTCGGGTAGCGTTTTTCGGAGTAACCCCGTAGATTTCGACTGCTGAGGTTTTTGTTTATTTTTAATCTAATAAGTATTTATTGTATTAATATATTTATGGACTACATAGACTAAATATTTTTGGTTTTGAACATCCTTGCAGAATAATTTTCTTGTTACAGGACCAAGAGTAAAACCAGTATTTGTCAGGGCATCTGAACGAATGACTGTAGCAGAAAGGGAGCGTAAAATGAAACAACAGAAGAAAGAAGAAGTTGAAGCAAGAAAAGAAAAAGAGGAGAGGCGCAGAGAGGCTTTGAAATTAGTTGAGGAGACTATCAGATCAGAACAAAGACATACTCAGGTATTTTTTTTCTATAAATAAAATAAATAAATAAAAATCATTTATTTTCAGACAAAAGCAGTCCATAGTTTGGTCAGTAACAATTTGAACTTAGAGACTATATTAGTAGAGTTAGTAACAATGTTCTTAGAAATATGTTGGTCGTACATCATGGGTTCTGTATATTGACTCTTTATCTATGGACGCTGTATAGCTTCACATGCCTAATGTGTAAGTCAACAAAGCGACCATAGACGGCTGAGTCCAGCCTCTCAGCAATCATTTTCAGGATTCCATTCCCACTTGTCCTCAGTCTTTGTAACACAGACGCAGTTGTTTTGCGCATAATTGAGTGAAAATCGTCAATGTGAGCATCCGCGAAAATGCCCGAGGCACTACAGTACCGAGGTAGTCGAAATAGAGCCCTGAAAATGTTATTATATTGGACTCGTAGGGCACCAAGGGACCGCTGCGTAAAACTCTATATTTTGCTTAGTTTCAGTGTCACTTATCAAAAAGGAAAAAGTTAGTGTCAAATCAATGTCTTCACTTGGTAGCTTACTGGATTGGATAGGTTTATAGGTCATCCAGCAAGCAACAAGGGGTACTTGCTCGTTCGTTCGTTCGTTCGTTTCAGCCAAATGACGTCCACTGCTGGACAAAGGCCTCCTCCAAGGTTTTCCACAATGCACGGTCCTGCGCTGCCCGCATCCAGGCTCTTCCCGCGACCTTTACCAGATCGACTTGCTCAATGCAGTGTATTTTTTACGTTGATCATGTTTGTTGTAGTAACAAATTATTTTTAACAGGGCGAACAAAAAGAAGGCAACATTGATGACGTATGCACAGATGATGAGAACGACGAATTGGAATATGAGGCGTGGAAGTTACGTGAGATGAAGAGGATAAAGCGAGACAAGGAGGAGAGAGAAGCGTAAGTCATTTGTAAACTGCAAGTATTCGATGTTTACCTCATGTTCTAAAAGCCAACAAAAATGTTATAAATTGTGCGCATTTTACAATGATTTCAAGTCATATCATCCACTTTTTTAAGTAACCCATCACAAAGTACCTATAGTTAATTAAAAGCACAGTTATACATCTACATCGCGTGGTACCTATTTATCAGTTTCCTACAAATCGCATGATAACGACTCAAAATACATTTATTTCAGAGCGGAGAAGGAATTGTTGGCGATCGAACGGATGAGAAATATGACGGAAGAGGAGCGCCGCGTCGAGCAACGAATCAACCCGAAGCAGGTCACCAACAAGGCTGTCAAGGGCAAATACAAGTTCTTGCAGAAATACTACCACAGGTATGGCAAACCTTTGTTTTTCTTATTAAAATTTCTTAGCGATTAGTCGCTTCTCAGACTAAATTATAAATAACTTGAAAAAATCGAACTGCCTAAGGTGGGAATCGAACCCGCGTGGAACCCACCGTGGCCATGATGTCTAACTAGCTTAGATGGAATAGCAGTCGCCCGGCAAGCGAAAGGTCTTGGGTTCGATTCCCGCCTTAGGCAGTTCGATTTTTTCAAGTTATTTATAATTTGCTTTTGTTGCTACTAAATCATTGAAATTTCGATTGTAATGTCGTAAAATTAAGTCATTATGTATGTATAAAATCCTTGTGCTAGCAACTGTTTCTCTAAAATGTAAAATGTTCTTTGTTTCAGAGGTGCTTTCTACTTGGATAAGGAGGAAGAGGTGTTCAAACAAGACTTCTCTGGCCCCACCCTGGATGATCACTTTGATAAGACTGTTTTGCCAAAGGTGAGAATTGTTCTCTTTTGCTTTTTGTTTGTTTTTTATATCAATAAACTTAATTCAATAGATTTTCCATTACCGCGTAATTTAACTAGGCTCAATAGTGTAAAAACTTGTTTTATGTATGCTGCATTCGTGTTGTTGTATTTCATAAGTTTAAAAAAAGTGCCAGTTTCCGGCAGTATACCAAGCTATACATTTTTATTGTTAAATAGCACTTACAACTACACAAGATGACACACACACTGTATTGCTTGATATGACGGCTGTACATTTCACGCGTATAGTGGCGTCATTATACCTGTCAGTACATTGCTTAAGAGCGTTGTAGCAAAAAGTTGGCGTTCGAATTTTAGGTTTTTATTGCTTGACGTCGCGTAGTGAGTGCGCAAACTGCATTTATCTGTACAATTTCAACGCTGCGTCGACTAAACGATCTTAATCCGTAGTTGTATCGTACCTAAGACAGTACATCATACATAATAATAAAGAAATAATGTATAATTTACCTATTTGATTTGTTCTCAGATCA